GTACAGGCTGCTCCTCACACCGCCCCGTGCTCCTCCCTGCCCTCTCCCCCAGGTGCAGCTCCAGCCTTGTGACATGTCCTGCTACAACCAGTGCCTGCCCTGCCAGCCCTGCCAGCCCTGCGGCCCGACCCCGCTGGCCAGCAGCTGGAACGAGTGCAGCGAGTGCTGCGTCAGGCAGTGCCAGAACTCCACCGTCGTCATTGAGCCCTCCCCCGTGGTGGTGACCCTGCCCGGCCCCATCCTCAGCTCCTTCCCGCAGAACACCGTTGTGGGCTCCTCCACCTCCGCTGCCGTTGGCAGCATCCTCAGCTGTAACGGAGTGCCCATCAACTCTGGCTGCTGTGACCTCTCCTGTTTTGGCAGCCGCAGGAGGTGCCTCCCCTGCTAAAGCCACTGGTGACTTTCCACAGAGGGACCCCCAGGAAGCTAGATTATGCTGATCTGAGGACAGAGCATTGGGTCACTGCTTTCAGAGGGACTGAGCAACCATGGCTCCACCTGCAAAGGAAGGCAGGAAGAGACGTGCCTGAGCTCTCTGAAAACATGGCCCATGTATAACTTGCCTGCTTCTCACTCCTTTTTCTCTCTTTTCTTTGTTGTCTTCTGCTATGTAGGGCCATGGGGTTTTCCAAAGCCAGCCCTGGAGGGATCTGCTGCCCCCCCTTTGTTTGTGGTGTATGCAGTTACAAATCTCTTGGGAGCTCTACCCTGACCTAAGGTTTTTGGATGATCTGGTGCTCCCTGTGCTCCCTGCATCAGAATCGCCACTTGTTTACCTCATTTCCCTCTTTTAAATCATTAAAATTCTGCTGCAACCCAGTCCGAGCCTCTGTGTGGTCCTTCCCTCTCAGGATGTTTTCACAAGCTACCCAGGGACAAAAGCATTTTTCTGGTCAAATCAACATGGGGTAAGGGCACATGGGCACACTTCACTATTCTGAGAGGAAGGACAAGTTGGGGCACACAGCCCTGGGAATTTTTGTGTGTTATCCCTTGAATCTGAGGAAGATGTTGCAGCTGCCCAAATGACAGTGACAACCAGGGACTTCCTTGCTGCATCTCTGCACAAGAAATGTCTCCTCAGGCTCAGATTTGATCCTGCAGATGGGAAGTCAGTCTTCTGCTGACTTGTAGTGGAGAGCTGGGGGCCTGCAGGAGGTCATGGAGTAGGTCAGCAGCTACACAAACTGCTGGTGAAGGTAGTTCCTCCTGTTCTGAATGGAGCTGTGTTGGAGGAGTAGGCTCAGACAGAAAATCACCCTAAAGGACAACAGGAATGAGATTGGTTGACTAGCCTTAGGAACAGCCCCCAAGCAGGAGTATGGCCAGCTCCCATGGGCACAGATAGTAGGCACAAGGTCCCCATGCAAAACCATGATCACCTGGTGCAGCACTTGACTTCGCCCAGCTGTTGCGCAGACAGGCAGGGCTGAAGTGATTCACAAGTTAGTTTTGGCCGGGCCCAGAGTAAACCACACACTCATGTTCCATTTCCATGTGAACCCAGCACCTATGAGTCAGGTCATGTCCAGGACCACAGCCAGCTCCTACATTCTCACAACTGCTCTGTGGTACCTCAAGTTCCCCAAGTATAGAGTAGGTTTCCTTTGGAACAGGCCCTTTAAAGCCCCATCAGTGCCAGGACAGTTCTGATCCTGAAAAGCTCTGTGTGAGAGTAGATTCCCCCTACCTCGCCTTGGGATGTGGTGGTTACAGTGGCACATGCTTCTGCACTCAGCAGCATCTGTGAGCGGTTCTAGGTTTAAAACTGGTCTCACTAGCTTTGGCTGATATTCCTGGGCACTGGTTGGAACAACAGCCCCAGCACATCAGAGTAATTGAACTGGAGGAGTCTCAGAGGGAAGACTGTATCTATCCAGGTCTGGGACTGTGGAAATCAACTTACCCCAGACAGGAAGCTGACATCAAGGCAGAAGGTCTTTCGCTCTGAGTGGAGGTCCCTCATCTATGTCCTGGCCTATCCTGTGGACAACAAGTATTGTCTCAGTGCCCAAGGGCAAAGAGGTAATGACCCTCTCTGGGGCACAAGGTTGCCAGCAGTTCCCATTCAGCTGTGTCCTTCCTATCTACCCTTTTTCAAAACTGTGCCTTTCCTTGGCAGAGCTGTGCCTCACTCCACAACACATTCAAGGCCAAAGGCAGGAGTAGTTCCTAGAGGTAAGCCTGGAGATGTGCATATCCAGTGTCTGCTGTCTGTCCACAGCACCAGGAAATCAACCTGTGGTCAGGGGCCGCAGATGTTACCCAAAAATGTTCCATTTGGTTAATTCAGAAGAGGCAACATGGCCATCATTAGATGTTTTTTTCTCTGAATTTGAATTTGACAGATTTGGATTAGCTCAGTCATTACATTAGTGATTCAATACCCAAAAATCAAAGCAAAAAGTCCCCAGGTCCTAAGGCACTAGAGAGTCAGCCAGCCAGTAACCCTTGTGAGCTGTGGTCTGCAGTCTTTGAAATATGTGCTCACTAAAAACCCATGCAGGAATCCCCAACTTTGCAACATTACTCCACATCTTATTGTCATTGCTACACTGATGGCAACAGGGTATGGGGTTGTAGAGGCACCATAAGAAGTTGAGCTTTCTGTCTCTATCTCCACACAGATTACAGAACAGATTCAAGTCATTGGCTCACTTCTGTTATTCATATTCATGTCACTTCATCTGTCTCACTTCTGTTCATGTCCACTGAGTTTGTAGTAAGGTCATATGGCTTCACTATTATTGCCCCCATCTAGGTACTCCTTCCTATGATACTTGAAAATTTCTTTCTAGACCTTCCCCCTCATATCAAGGTGATGACTAAAATGCTGGCACCCCTGAAGCATCCATGATCCCGCGGGTCCATGCAAGGAACTCCTGAAAACACTGTTATGTTTGAAATACAGGCTCAGGCACACCAGGGCCATTTGGACCGGTTGAGATTCCCCTCACACCATCTCCATTGCTCTGCTACTGGATATCCTCTTGCCCTCAAAGCAGGACACCCTGAAGGATCTGTGGCTGTGGTTCTGTCAGTGCCGCAGCAGCTATACTTCTGAAGGGATTGTGGCCCACAGATAAGCCCACACTGAAGAAGGTATACATTGAAGAATCTGTGGCTGTGGATAAGTCTATGCCACTGCCAGTAAACCCCTGAAGAGACTGTGGTTCATAGGTAAGGCCACATTACAGCACATACACCCCTACGGGACAGTGGTCTGTGGATAAATCCATGTCAAAGCAGGGGCAAGGGGAGGAATTAATTTCGACATTAAACTCTATTGTCTGGTCCAAAGGGACCAGAAGTGGACAGTGTAAGATATACATTTAAATGGTTGTAACCCATTATTTAAGTTATGGGATTGTTACAGGAAGTACGATAGCAGGAACCACTCAAACCAATGAAAGACAAGACTCACAAGAAGCAATGCAAGTGCATCTGTGACCCACCAAAGCTGGCTTTGGTGCCCGGTAACTCCATGCAGCATACCACCTGTCCCATCCTAGGTGGCCACCATAACAGATGGAGCCCAAAGTCATGGAATAAACTAACTCAATGGACATTTATGGATGTTTTACAGACGTTTTACAGGGGTGGTCCGTAGACTAAGGTAATGATATTTGTGTATATATCAAAGCATGGGAAAGGCGGGAGGAGGTTACTGAGGACAACTTGGATAGTGTGGGACAGGAGTATTACGTAAATCGTACGGAATAAAAGATGGAGAATGTGCTGGGTTTGGGCTGGGATATAATTAGATCTTTTCATAGTAGCTAGTATGGGGTTATGCTTTGGATTTGTGCTGAAAACAGTGTTAACACAGATGTTTTAGTTGTTAGTTTAGATACACAGCATTGGGGCCTTTCCTGCTTTTCAGTCTACCCCACCAGCAAGTAAGCTGAGGGTGTGCAAGAAGTTGGGAGGGAACACAAGCTGAGACAGCTGACACCAATTGAACAAAGGCTTATTCCATACCATATGACATCATACTCAGCAATAAAGGCTGGGGGAAGGAGTAACAGGAAGGACATTCAGAGTATTGGCATTTGTTTTCCCGAGTAACTGTTAGATGTGACGGATACCCACTTTCCTGGAGACGGCTGAACGTCTGCCTGCCAATGGAAAGCAGTGAATGAATTATTCATATTGCTTTGCTTGTGTATGCAATTTTTGCTTTACCTATTAAACTATCTTTATCTCACAACCTATCAGTTTTCTCATTCTTACCCTTCTGATTCTCTCATGCATCCCACCCGGGCAGGTGGAGTGAGTGACCTGTTTTGCAGTTAAAGATGACAGACTGCCAAAAGAAGGCTACATTCCAGCCTCAGCCAGAGTCACTTACAGCAAGATCTCCTGTTGTGCGAGAGTCTGGATCATGCCTCACTCCTGGTCCTGTCCTGAAAAACTATCAGGAAGAAAAATTGTTGCACTTTTCACCTAAATGCCCTCCTGTGGTCACCTCCCACAGAGCAGGAGTAAATTTATGCAGATGGTCACAGGGTGAGCAAACACACAGAAAATCTCCTTTCCCACTCCATGTGTTTTCTCCTCAGTTTCAGGGCTCTATTTTCCTCTGAAACAGCATGCCTTAGATTCTTCAGATAGAGCACACCCGGGCAGATTCTTTAATCTGTTCACAGAGACTCATCAAGTTCTTTTCTACATGGAAAAGGCATCTCTAACTTGAGATCCCTGGATAAATAGGGGAAATAACTCCTCCAGGGGGCAGCTGAGGGTTTGCTCCCTCAGACAGATTTTTGCACAGCCAAGGAAACTTCCAGCACCAGGATTTCATGCATAGCACAGAGGTGCAAGAAGACTTTGACTTCCTCTAGTGCAAGAGGCTGAATTTCGCTGTGATGTTTGGCAATGTGGTGAATGTGCTTTTCTCCTTGGAACCAGTTACTGCCTGATATGACAACAACTGGGGGGAATTTTCCCTCTCTTCTGCTGATACCAGATCATAGTGTAAAAGTTAGAGCTGTGGTAGGTGCAAGTGGTCTGGAAGCTGTCTGTCACCCACAATCACTAGGCCCTTTTTCTGAGTAACAGTAGTCTGGCCCACGGTGTCTGGAAGAAAGGGAGAGACAGCAACAGTGCAAGGAAAGACTCCAGGAAACAAACTTAGAGGTATGATGCTAGTTCTTGTGGAAGAAGGCTTCCTGTTCCTTGCTCTTCAGCAAGAACACAAGGGCTGGGAATGGCAAGGTGGTGAGGGCAAGAGCTCTCAGTTCTTGGCTCAGCGTGGTCCCACAGTGTAATAATGAGCACCACCTTGTGCTAGGATGCCCCTAGAGGATGACTGTATTGTGCCCTATTCCCAGATTCTTGCTGAAAGATCCCAAGAAACAGTCTGTTGTGTCTGACCCTCATGCAGAG